AATATAGACAGAAGAAGTTGCGGAAATGTTACTCTGCAAGATTCGGTTTGTTTTATGTTGAATATTAGTCTCAGCAATCATTTCTGATCAATAAATACTCTATCAGATGACTATATTCAAGCGTAAAGTAGACATTGAGCAAGCCCTTGTCATTAAGTATGTCTTTAAGCTGCACTAAGGCGTAATAGGCTTAATTCACCTTGTTGATCAACATGATTGATAAACATGTTCCTAATAGCTTGCAATGGTGCGATATCTCATAGGTACTGAACAATATGTTGTCTTCTAGGATACGTCTACAGATGGTAAAATTAACTTAAAAAATATCTCCTTTTTAGGCGACTACATTTTACTTACCTCCTCGCTAATTGACGAGGTAAGTAAAATGAGATTCTTGATTAACAAGACCGATTATTTTATGTCAAATTCTTTCACCCCATTAATATCATAATATAATAATAATATCCGCTTGAAATGAACGTTTTCGCAGTCAATTAGATTGTCGAATTAATTTTTGAGCCCCTTCGCGGATGCCTACGAATCCCTTGTTGAAGACCTTTGAACCCCTTCGTTGTTGATATCGCCTTCCTTTCATCGGTAATTGAGTTTAGGTACTATGTAGCAAGGGCAAAAATGGTGAATGCCTGAAATTCCAATTTTGATAGAAAAATCATTACATGGTGACGGGTTACCAAACATTATTAGGCAGACCACCTCACACACATCATTTGAATAGGACGTAAGAACATTCCTTGATATATAGGGTGGAGCATATGTGTGAGAACGTGTGAGTTCAAGAAAACTTAATAGCGGAATCAAGCAATCTTGTTTTCAATATGCCTTGGACAGTTTAAGGCAGATCCAATAATGTGTACAGCAAATAAAATATAAAAGTTCCTGGACTGGCAGATTTTAAGGAGAAAAGTTCTCGTAAGCATAATCACTATGAAAGAAACTGTCATGCTGGTATATATAAAAATCCACCAGAGTCTGCGAATGCCTCCTCATATAGTGCCAAGGACGACAAGACGTCAATCAATCAAAATACACTTTATTGTCCAAGAATACATTATTCTTACTCGTATTGACAAAGTGACATGAAATAAATTAAAACATGAAACAACGTTAAAAATAAACAGACAGTACTTCAACGGGTTATAATAGGCTTTCTGTAGAAGCAACATTTTTGAAAACCTTCAGATCATCAATTATTTTAGTAGCTGCCGATAGCAGGTAATTAAATTATAAATTATAGAGTGTTGAGTTAAAGCTGACTTGGGGATAGGTAAGTGAATGCTGTGGTAATGCCTGAGATTGTACCGTAGAGTCTCCGTTGCTGGTGGTTGACTGGCATATTTCTTTTTAACCAAGCGTACTACTACAACTTCAAATAGACACGTCACATTTAAAATCTTACAAAAAGCTTACAGCTATTTCAAAGTCAGCTTGAGCTATTCTCCTTATCACCTTTAACTAAAAACTTGTTCTAGGAGCTGTATACCACAGACTCCCCAAAATGCGATGTCATACCTAATATGTGACTTCGCCATTGCATGGCCCCTTCTATGCCCAGCTGCTTTTCTATGATCACTAATTTCAATATCAATATCAATCAATCAATATCAATAACCTTTATTTCCATACAGACAATGTATAATTTTATTGGAATTGTCAATTTTTCGTTCGCTACAAATCTACAACTAATCTCAAATTGCAATGTTCAAAAATTCATCAACACGATAAAAGCACTTGTTTATCAAAAATTGCTTCAACTGGAACTTGAAGTCGTTAATATTTTTAACCGAGGTAAATTATTAAAAAGTAGCGGACCAATTTTATTAGGTGATCGAAATGCCGCTTTTGATTTGCTGAAGCTTACATATAAATTATTACAAGTCCTTGAATCATAATTATGCATATCACAATTCCGCTTGGATTTTTCATTATTTTTAAAAACATGTAAGCACAATTCATATATACACAACGAAGGGACAGTTAAAATGTTGAAACTTAAAAAATATTTTTTGCAACTTTCTGTTGGTGATATGCCTGCTAATGATCGGATGCATCTTTTTGAGATACAAATACATCTTCAGAGCGCGTTGACCAACCCCAGAAACATACTCCATATCTTAATCTCGAATCCACATTAGCAAAATAAACTTGTATCAATTGTTCAGCTGTTAAGATGGTTTTTAATTGCCTCAACACATAGCTTTGAGAGTACATTTTTGATGTGAGAAATTCGCAGTGGGCCTTCCAATTTAAGTTCGAATCAAAATGAACGCCAAGAAATTTCACTTCTCCTCTAAAATCGAGTTGATCGTCACCCAATCTACTTGAATCCCTTCTACAGTTTTTTGAGCATGATGAAAATGAATAAGCGTTGTTTTGGAAGGATTCAAGTAAAGTGAGTACTGGTTAAACCATGTATTGATATTCCTAATTAAGTTGTTACATTTATCTTCTAAAATTATATTTGAATTACTTGATATTATGGCAGAAACGTCATCAGCATATGCTGTAAAATGGGTATCTGGATTCACATTATCAAACTGATTAATGTATAAGAGGAAAAAGATTGGTCCAAGAATAGAGCCCTGGGGGACTCCAATCGAGATGTCTAACGTACTTGACACAAAGTTTTTCATATTGTTCCCTGCATCAAGATATTCCACTGAAACATATTGTTTTCTTTGGACTAAAAACGATTTGGCCCATTTAAGAGACTGGCCGACAAAACCATATTTAACAACAATCTCCAAGAATTTGTTGTGATCAACGCAGTCGAATGCCCTACTGAGATCACAAAATACCCCAGTAGGGCACTCGCCCGCGTCGATGTATTCTATAAGCTTCTCATAAAAAGAATGTATGGCTGACATTGTGGTCTTACCATCTGTGAAACTATGCTGGTTTTGAGACAAAATATTGTTGTTCTTAAGATGTAGAAGAAGTCTATCCAAATAGGCATATTCAAACACTTTAGAAAGTACAGACGCCACAGTGATTGCCCTGTCGTTTGTAATATCAAGCTGGTTCCCTTTTTTTAAAATTGGTATAACTTTGCCTCGTTTCAGCCTACTTGGGAACTCTCTGCAGCAAAATGAGATATTTATAAGGTATGTTATTGGTTTTATTATAAGACAAAAAAAAATTGTGACAAAAAATGGTATTCTAATAACAGTTTCAACTTTAGGCCAATCAATATAACTGACAAGCTTGATACTTTTGATCCATAAAATCAAATCCTTAGGACGTGACGTTATATCTCTTAAGCTGCTTAAATTATGTTCCCCTGTTATTTCGAACCACGACCTCCATACAAATGATTGTCTAATGAACGGATTAATTCGTGAGTCGTGGAAGGAATCACTAATATTACCTCTTGCAAAAACAGTAATTCCACATCATATGATGATCTGAGACCAATTAGAATCCTACCTGTTCTATCTATGTAAATTATTGGAGAAGGGAATGTATGGTCAAATAAATGACTATCCATCATTAAAATGTGGTTTCCGAAAGCGCTACAATACTCCAGGTGCGTTGTTGGAGCTGACAGACGGCATTGTTAGAACGTGGGATCAGCATTTGATCATAAGGCTGGCACTTATTGATTTTAGTGAGTAGTAGTAAGTAGTCTAAATTATCGTGTGCCGCTTGCTAAATGTAAATTTTACGGTTTCTCTGAACCCTCTAAAATATGATGTGTAGTTATTAAGCTAGTCGCTTCCAACGAGTTACTATCGATGTGGATGTGTCGCCTAAATGTGCCGTTTCATCTGGAATACCCAAGACTCCGTACTCAGACCATTATTATTTAATTTATATATCGCCGACTTGCAGACATTTGTCAAACATTGTAGTATTCAATTCCTTGCTAATCACTCTCACATTTATAATGACTTTCATAGTAGCAACACTCAAATTGCTGAATATAAAACTAATGAAGATATAAAATCAATTAGTGGATTTGCAAAAAATCATAACATCAAACTAGGCCCTTCAAAATCAAAAGTCAATATTTTTTTTACCTAAACCTTTCAGAAATTATGCTAAGAACAGATTTAATGTTAACATAGATGGTGCTACTATCAAAATTAATGAAGCAGCCAAAAACTTAGGAATTATTTTTGATGCGTGTCTCAAGTTCATACCTCATGTAAACAAAGTTACTAAAAGCTGTTTTCCCATGCTACGTCAATTATATCTGAATAAACAAATTCTCGATTATCAAACAGAGGAAAACTTATGCGAATCATTGATTATGTCCAAAATTACTTTCTGTGATATAGCTTAAAATCCATTTTTAGATACAATATCAAATAACGTTTAAAAAACATTTAAAATTTATGTTGCAGACTAATAAATAGTTTAAGAAAATATGACCATATAAGCGGTTCTTCAACCCTTTGTTTCCTAAAAACTTTTAAATCAAAAAATTGAGGTAAAAGTTAAATAATCTCACTCTATTGGGTTCCTAGAAGACAAAAAAGTGAAAAACATTTATTTTTATAAATATATTTTTTTATTAGACTATGGTTTCGACATGATACCACTAGGAAACTAGTGCAAGCCAATAAAAATCTGATAACTAAACAACATTATAAAGCTTAGGTTAAAACAGTTTTTTTCCGTAAGGCTCAATCCAACCTTACAAGCCACACATTCCCACATGGTTCTATGAGGATCCTTACTAGTGCTACAAAAGGCACATCGTCTGGATGTCCCGTGTTGTGGCATATGCAAACATTGGTCAAAGCGTTTTTCATGAGGCACAATTTTCTTAAAATGTTTTGCTGTAACCTAACTCCGTGAAGTCTTATCACCGCTGACGCCGATTAACCCTGAAGTTACAGATAACTCGAAAAATTTCAGGTTTGGAGCCAGGCAATTCGCTTTTTGTTTGAAGAGAATGAAAGAATTCACAACACATATCTATGAAATGCCACACAATTCAATGCCAGCATTTCTTAGCTTTGCGGTCTATCTCATACGTAGATTCGAGCATATCTGTTTTGTCAACGTTATATTCCTTGACGATCGTTGGGCTGGCTGCGACTTGTGAGTTTCCGTCCTTTTCCTTGCGGGAAACAGTTGCTCCTTCTTAAGAGTAGATAATTTCCGACAAAATGCACTATTTTTCGGTCTCTCCACTCTACAAACACCAGTTCTCCTTGCTGACCCTCCATTCAGATTGTCCTCGAATGGGCAATTCTCTATCAGATACTAAGTCTTTTGGGATATCTTTTCGGTTAGTCCTGACAGTGCTGCATGCATAAATACATTCTGCTTGCAGTGTTTTCTGTAATGGCACAGAGATAAAAAAGTTGTCAAAGAATACGTGATATCCTTTTACTACCTAGTCTGGCGTAAAATATAAGATATTTCTTTGTCCCAAATCTTTTTCAGGTTGATTATTAGTTTTTCCAACGTATATTTGAAATTGGCAGACATATCCATTCTCATAGGATTGAACACAGACTTTATAACCTCATTTGATGGACTTGAGGGGCATAAACTGCTTCAGGAAAGTGCGACCCTTGAATCGAATCATAGATTCGTCGATGGACTGATTTTTTGAAGGGCCATATGAAGAACGAAAGGTTTCAGATAAAGTCTCCAATAAAGGGCGAACTTTATACAACTTGTCATAATTTGGCGAGTCGCGACCAGGCATCATCTTCATCACTAGTCGGTTCATCTGACTCGCCATCCGAAGGAATGCTCTCTTATAATGCATATAAATCGTCCGACGACATATGCTCTAGCTCTCTGAATGTATATACTTCTTTTCCTGCAATAAAAATACGTAATTTCCTAGTGGTTTCACGGTGAAACCGGCATTTTGTATCTTCGATAAGTATTGTAAGTTAATAACTTTAAGTAATAGGGAGCATTAATCATCGATGTTTTTAACATTTTAAATGAAAGAATAAACTTACCTGCCATAGCGAAATGATATAAAAACCACCAAAATTACTTACACCACTGACCCAGTTCAAGACACGTTCCATTACCGACTAATACATGAGCAACGCGAATGCAAATGGCGGAGCGCAATAAATTTCAAGGTTGGGGGAACCTTATACGTTATATACTGTAAGTGGTTTCAAGCATATGCCGCTAGGAACGTAGCAAGAAATTTGTATGTACGTGGTTGCACAGTGACACCACTGAGAAACAAAGGGTTAAGAGAATTTGGATGGTTGAAAGTGAGAGAGCTACACCTACACGCACGAGCTCTTGCTTATTTCGATTCCCTCGTTTTTAAAGAACAAGCTGATTCCTCTAAATTCTACTCAAGAGACATAGATACAGCTTACTGAAACACTCACAATGCCCCTACACAACCTCATTCATTCATAAGTGCTTCACATACAACGCTCCTTCACTTTATAATGAAGTACCTCAGTACCTCAATAAATCTTAATGACTTTAAAAAACAAATTTAACAATTTCAAGGTAAACTTCGCCCTTCAATAAAAGACGTTTATTATTACTGTTAGTATTATTATTATTATCATTGTGATAGTTTGACAACATTAAATTGTTGAACGCAAATTTGAAGGACAAGATGTTTATTTTATCAACATTGAAACATAATAGGTTGGCATCACACCATTCCCTCGTCTTCAACAAATCAAGAGATATAGTTTCTTTTAAGTTCGGGATGTCTCTCCCATGTCACTTGTTATTAGACTTACTCAGTGATTACTCCTCAAAGAAATGAGTGAGAAGGTCAGACCGACCTAATAAGGAAAATATATGTGCGTATTCAGATAGCTGCAAGACCGAAGCTGGTGACGGGGCTAGTATCTTCGTGCTGTGTCTAGGAATTGAGGAATCAGTCAGCCTAGTCAGGCAGGGCTATACGTCTTACAGCTGTACGCCAGAATTATCGCAGGGCGACAGATGATGCACATGACTATAAACATCTGCTCAGACAGAATAGTCGCATTTGAAGCACCTAACTCTCCAGATAATACATCAAAATTGTTGTGGAGTTGTAAGGAACATCTCGGTAATAGGCATGGAAATGAGGTCCACCACACGTGGTTACCAGGATACACAGATTTAAAAGGGAACGAAACATTTGACATTCTGGCTAGTGCACTCTGCATAGGACCTTGACCAGCGACCACGATAGTGTGCATTACAGTAGATATGAACGGAAATGTTCATCAATACGGTAAGCGATTAAGAGAAGTATTTTATAGAATAAATGAACAAAGTATAACTTTATTTATTATATGACCTTTTCTTCTGAGAATCCTTCAGAGAATTACTCCTTGAGTTTTGCATGGTTACTTCATCAGCATTCTATATAATGCAAATTGCGCCTTACCGGTTCGACAACAAGTTAAGCCCAGTACATGTTTAATAATATTACATGAAACACAAAAACAACAATAGCCTGCAAAATTCTTTAATATATCTCTCCAACAGAAATGGTTTAAAACTTTAACACTACATAATTCTATGTCAGAAACATTTTATTACTTCGATAGTAGCTTCACCATAAAATGGCTGTACAGTCAGTAGTTGTTCATCACTAATAATGTTCAACGTCGTTCCATCTCAATACTGCTAACAAATACTGTTCATTACTATCAACTCTCATAAATATAAGAATTATCAAAAGTTTTACAAAACACTCAGCATTTTTTCCGCTTCTTCTCTATTTTTTACAGGTACTACCTCACCTTTAAGTAACATCTGTATCTCCTCCAAAGTTTTCCCTTTGGTTTCAGGTATATAAAAATAAGTGAACGCTGCTATGAGAAAACTGCAAAACGTGAATACGTAAAAAGGCACATGATATCCATATAAGGACAATGACTGATATATTTCAACACTAACTATAGCTCCTATGACATACCAGGCGTCAGCTATAGTCATACCAATCGCTTTTAGCTTAGCTGTAAATATCTCTGAGGTAATTATGATAGGAACGATACCTAAACCCATTTTGAAAGTAAAGGCATATACCATAACTGACGCTATGGGGATCCAACTTATCCCCTTTACATCATACTGGTTGTGCTTTAAATTAAAATAGATAGCTAAAGCTAACATGCAAAATGCAGTCATGATCGTCGATGCTATAAGCAGTACTTTACGACCATATCTATCTACTTGCAATGATGCCATTTGGGCTGATACTAACATTATAACTGAGAACAGGATAGCTGCATGACTTGAATCCATGTACACCGAATCTGCAGACTGGAGGATACTATGAAGGTTCATCAAAATGACACTGATAGCCACCAAGTGTTGACCTCCATTTAGTACTGTCATTATAATCAAAGCTTTGCGATTGCTTGGTACTACGACCAAGTCCATGATGCGACCATGTTCAGCTTTTTGACGTTCCACGGCTTTGGAAATTTCATCTAACTCTTCGGTGATATTCCTGTTTGGCCTGAAGTATTGCAAGGATTTCTTGGCCTCTGCATACTTCTGGTGGTAGAGTAAGTAGTATGGACTTTCAGGCATGAATATGAAAGTAGAAAGCTCTATCAATAGAATAATGCATCCGATTACAGGTGTGATATAGAATGGTGTATAGGGTCCAATGGAGTAGACGATGATGAATCCTACCAACATCATGAGGTAAGTGATGCTGGAGAGGAAGCCTCGGATCTTCTGATCGGCGATTTCTGCTACGTACATTGGAGCTGCCACAAAGGACATGTTAGCGGCCATACCTGAAAAAGAGAATAGTTGTATAAGAAGCAAAAAAATGCGTCATGTAGGTTGACACTGCACTTTCTATGCAACGGCTCCTGTTATACTTACAATAAAGGTTAAATGGAGAAAGTTTTAGTGGAAACTTAGTGCAGTCAACAGCCGGCTTCAGATTTACGATCGGTCAACTGGTTTTAGAAATACCGGAAAAAAAATAAAAATGTCGAATTTTGTTTGTTGCCAGTAAATCCGAAACGGTTAATTTGACAGCTGTCAAAATGCGACATTTCGGACATTTTTTTGAAGGCAAATGAGATAGCGTATATGACATGTCTCAATTGTCATTTGTTTTCCAGTAGCTCGCCTCAACTTCCATTTTCCTTATGGCCGCGATATTGGGTTTTTTGATTTTTGTGAGGCGTCACAAGTGCATAAAAGATTGAAGTATCATCGAAGTATCATTACACCTATTGTTATGTATTAATTTTTTTCTAAGAACGCCATGATTTATTTATCAGAAGATACAATTAATAAGTAACGCGTTTTTTCATCTAGGGAGGCTCTGACTTTGACGTTAAATAATTCAAAGTATTAAAATTGTGTGTTAATAAGTAGTAGGTACGTTTTCTCTCATTAAAATCATAAATCTGATAAAAAAATTGTCAACACATGTTGAAAATGGCCGTTATTCCCTACCCAAATGAAGAAAAGTTTGACATGTGAGCGCTGTCACACAGAAACACCGACATTACCTCAGCAAGGTACTTGAAGCCTCATAAAACCCAATTTAGAAAAACAGTAGTTAATGTACTAATCCTTCTAACAGCCTACAAGCGGATACAATATTGAAAAGAAAAATCGCGACAGAAACATTTGACAGGCTGTCAATGAAATCTCCAGTTCATCAGTAAGAACTATAAGAAAGAGAATTTTGGTGTGTCAACATCAACAGTACAGAGAGTGTTAAATAGGAATCAGTACAATCCATTCAAACCTATAAAAGTTCAAGGACATTATTAAACTGATTTTCCAAGCCGAAAACGCTTCTGTGAGTTGTATACTAGAAAGTCTAGTGAAAATCCCGATTTTGTAAATCATGTCTTGTGGCCCGACAAGAGTAGACTTACGAATTCTGGAGTCTTTAATAAGCACAACACTCATCATCGGGCTGTAGAAAACCCTCACGAAGTGGCAGAGAGACATCTACAGACATGATTTGGAACTAACATTTGGTGTGAGGTCATTGGTAATTTAATCTAACTTACCTTTTTTAATTGGGCACCTTTGGAATTAGGTATTTCAGGTAATCGATTTTTTGCTACAACCTACATGGGCAGAGGTACCTAGAACTTTTGCAAAACCAGGTTGTGCCGACTTTACGAGCTAGTCTAACCAAAGGTGAGTTTAGAAGAACCTGGTTTCAACAGGATGGATATATCGCTCACAACACTATGCAAATCAGGAACTTCTTAAGAGAGCAGTTTGGTGAAAGAATAATTCCATCAAACCTCAATATCTTGGCCTCCTAGATCCCCTGCCCTTTCACCCTTGGATTTCTACCTCTGGGGTCACACAAAGAATAACTTGATCCTCCCGCGACCACAGAAATCCTGACACAAAAAGTTTTGAGCACAGTTAGAAACATTAACAAAAATACACTAGCAAAGGTTGTATGAAAAACAGTCACCAATTGTCAAAAATGTCTGGATGCAATTGTACGTTATTTTGCAAATCTGCAAAGTAATACCCACTTACATGATTAGATCTTACATTACATTACAATTTTGTAAAATGTTTGTTTCAAGAGTAAAATAACTTTACGACGATTTTTCTGACTTGTTTTTTTGACACACTCATAGTTGGAAATTTGCCCCAAAACATTTGACTTGTTGAGAAGTCGATATTAACGTTAATAATCTATTGAAAATTCAAGGCGTTTATGTGTTATTTTATGTCTTATTCATTAATGTTATATAAATTATAGCCTCATTAGAAAAAAACTAATACATAACATTACGTGTGATGATATTTCGGTGATACTCCAATATTTTATGCACTTGTGAGTCATCACTGGACTGGAAATTTTACATTGTTTTCAAAAATCAAACATGGCGGTCATAAGAAAAATATAGGTTGAGGCGAGTTGCTCGAATACAAGAGGCGATTGAGACATGTCATACATGCTATCTTATTTTTCTTAAAACAAATTCCGAGTAATGTCACATTTTGACAGCCGTCAAATTAATTGTTTTGGAATGTTCTGGAAAAAACAAATTCCGCCATTTTCGGTTTCTCGCTGTTATTTTCAAAACCAATTGACCGATGGTAAATCTGAAACCGTCTATCGAAAGCACTAAGTTTCCCATAAAGTCTTCCCTATTTAACCTTTGCTGTAGGTATAACACAGCCGAGGAGGAGTCGAGATCCCTGTATAGAGAAGCGAATCTGGGATACACTGTATATTAGTCCTTAGACATACCCAAACGGCAGTTTGGTAACGTTATCCCTACCTACATTTGCCCACCGCGGCACCGCTGCAGCGAGTTTCCGTTCCTTCCGTGTAGACAGTTTGTGCACTGCAGTACGGATAGATTCTTGAGCCGCACCGGTACGCCGGGTAGTGAGATTAGACAGCAAAGGTACGCCCAAAACATTATTCAATCATTTTAAATTTTAAAATATACGGAACATGTATGTTGCGTGAAATACGACTAATAGCTGCGTAGAATTACCGGGGTTGGATGCGTGATAATGCCAGAAAAGTGAGAAACCTCACCCCTATAACCCTCAACTCCCAATTTTAGTCCCTACAAAAACCTTTCAGAAAAGGAGAAGAGGAGAAGGTGCCTCTGAAATGTCGGAGAGCGATGTTTGCGTGATATTTAAATTTTTGTTTTCTGGGTACAAAATCCGAGCCATAATTACCAAGTAAAAGATCACGGACTAGCTAGCAAACAAACCGACAGATAGACCGATGGAAATGAGTGACACAGTTTTCCGCATAACATCTAAAGAACATAGAATATCTCATGTCCGATGTTCACGATTAACGATTACAATACTTCCTTGCCGCAAAATGAAAAATTATATTGGGGAAACACAAGAGCGGGTATAGTGATACCTGTTCGATAAAAGCATCTACAAAAAATTATTAGAGATTTTTGACAATCAATACTGTCTACTAAAGCTGGCCTGAATTTAGATAATGTACATATATATGTATATCCTTGAATTTCTTTGGGATGAAGGCAAAGTTTTGCAAAAGTACACTCTTTTAACTAAAAGTCAAGCTTTCAATGGTCTTTGCGATCATCACCAGGAGCAGAAAACCAAGTTTGTAAATAGCAACATTGCACAATAAATTGTTCTTAAACGATAGTGGATAAGGACACATAGTCAACGAACAAAAAGCTGGATCTATGACGTTCAATTAATGCGAAATTTTCAATTATTAATTATTGGCTGAACCGTAGCTATATTTTTCAAAAAACCACTTGCGGAAGAATTAAAGATTCATTAACTATTGAAAATTTATTCGAAATTTCATCTTTCATAGTAGCCTCTACGTTTTTCTTAACACGTGTTGGCCGACTGACACTGGCTAGTGAGGTTGACATTATTGACACACTATCGACCTTGGGAACAGTTCTTGTAAGTGTGTTACCTACGTTGTAGGAAGTTTTGTGAAGTATTACGAGGGAGGTGCGTTTTATTTCCATTGCCAGATGAAGTTCAAAATTATTTTCAAAATTAATAAATGTTATTGTGGAAGGGATATGATTTTGATGTTATCCTTTTTCCGTGCTAGAAACTTCAAAACTTGAGGAAAGATATTAAATAAGATAAATAATTGATTATTAATAGTGAAAAATTATGCAACTAGTGCGATTATCGAGAAAGATCGATGTTGGGAGATATATGATTCTTTTCCAATTGTTCGTAGTTAAACAAGTATGCATAAATGACGTTGAGTTGTTTGATATCTGTTTTTTTTATTCATGCAACTCTCTGTCTTAAAGATATGAGACATTTCCAGGAACAAACGTGTTGATAGATGCAGCCTGGTATCACTTTTGTGTGAGGTTATTCCACCTCTAAGTGATTTAGAGGTTTGTCCTATATCAGTGATTGCAGTTATTGGATTTGACGGAATAGACAATATTGGCTAAGCACAGGAACTCTATGTATCATTATGGAAAAGACATTATTAATTGTGAGGGAAGATTTGTAAGCAATGCGACAATTTGAAGTGTGTATATATATATATATGAGCAGTAGTCATTGCCAAAGCCAACGACCAGTTGGGCACAAAATACAACTAATTGTTAATTGGGAAATTGGCAAATTTTTAGGCTTAAGTTGACTCTTTTGACGATAAAATCAAGCTTTCGGCATTCTCTATGGAGCCTTCACCAGGATTCTGAAAACACAATTGTGATGCTAGCAAAGAATACAGGACAGATTTAAATTGTCAGACAACTTACTCGTCGTTGAGGTTGCAGCCACAAGGTGTTTCAAAACGAACGTAGAGAAGATAGAACTTGTTATAAATATAAAAACAAAAAGACGGAGACATCAACAAGCCCAATGTCAAAAGAGTTAACTTAAGCCTAAAAACTTGCCAATTTCCCAATTAACAATTGTATATATATATATATATATCCTCACATACTACTCTCCTGATGATGATGGCAAAGTCCATTGAAAACTAGAGAGAATTAAAAAAAGTATAAAGAGTCCTCTTTGCTTAAATTTTGTCGAAGTACCCAAGAAAAGGCGGCAGCTTTAATTTTTCACCTAACTGGTCTAGACGACAATGACCGCGTCTCAAAAAAAAAAATATATATATATATAGGTGAAAAATTAAAGCTTCCGCCTTTTGTTGGGTACTTCGACAAAATTTAAGCAAAGAGGACACCTTAAACTTTTTTTAAGTACTACTACTTAAGTACCCAACAAAAGGCGGAAGCTTTCATTTTTCACCTAACTGGTCTAGACGACAATGACCACGTCTCAAGTT